GTTTCATTACGAATAGTTTACAATTCTCTTATGGTAGCAAAGCATTCTAAGTTTATTATGTTTTGTAGATAATGATGTGAGTTTGATGGATGTTGAAACCTCATCCTTTATGTCCTCAAGTCAACCCATGGTCTCAAAAAGGATTTTACGTCCAAGGATTCTTAAGCCTTTACCTGCTAAAGAAGCAGGTAATGTTTAATATAAACCTGCCTTTACAATTCTCTTATGGTAGCAAAGCATTCTAAGTTTATTATGTTTTGTAGTTAATGATGTGAGTTTGATGGATGTTGAAACCTCATCCTTTATGCCCTCAAGTCAACCCATGGTCTCAAAAAGGATTTTACGTCCAAGGATTCTTAAGCCTTTACCTGCTGAAGAAGTAGGTAATGTTTAATATAAACCTTCACAGTCAGCTTGCAGTGAAGGTAGTGTTTTTATTTTATTTTTTTTAGTTTAATGAAATGCAAGTTGTATAACTTTATTCTCTTTTCTTCTAAACAACCTTCTGAAGTACAAAAAAGGAAGTCCACACATACTACAAAGAATGAAAAGAATTTGAAGTTGGCTAGGGTTGCAAATGAAGTTGAAGATGAGGTAGTTCAGGTTTTGAGAACAAGGAGTTCTCCTCTTCAATTATGTTTGGCAATTCAAAACTTTCAAATAGAGTAGAGAAAGTCTGTTACAACCATGGGGCTTAAATCAATCCTACACCTAAGCATAGAATATATTCCATCAAGATTGGGCTTTTTCGTTGTCGACAATTTTGATGATGAAAGGATGGTCATAAAGCTTCCAGTTGGGGAGCTGGAAATTACGAAAGACAGCGTGCAGAAAATGCTTGGTTTTCCAACTGGTCCTATTCGYATCACCCAAAAAAGAACAAATAGCAATGATAAAGTGGTTAGATGTTGGAGAAACCAATTTCCTCAAACCAAAAAAGAAATTCATCCATCTCTAGTTGCAGAACATATGAACCAACAAATAGATGGAGGAGATATGTTCAAGTTGAACTTTTTCGTTTCCGTTGCTACATGTTTGTGTGAGTCTATGAAGGCAGGGACAACTAATCAAAGGCTTTTGCACTGCATTGCACACAAAGAAAATATAGATAACTTAGATTGGTGTGAGTTTGTCATCGATTGCTTGAAGAGAAGAGAAGCAAAAAGAATTGGAATAGGGCTGATCCAACATCGTATCATTGTGGGCCATTGATGTTCTTAACGGTATGATTTTTTTTTATTTACGTTGTATCTATTTTCATATTAACTTGATAATGTTTTTTATTTCTAGTTACTCTATGTGGATGGATTGTTATGCAAAGATTTGCATGTTCAAAGAAGTTCTCCAGCTATCAAGGTTTGCACTACAGAACTTCTAAAAGAAAGAGAGTCTTTGGAAATGAAGTCAGGAAGTTTTGGCTATGGTATCCTCCAAGAACCATTTGAAGAAGAGGAAAACCAAAATGAAGAAAACGAATGTGAGTATAAAGAGGAAGATGAAGAGGAAGAAGAAGACGAAGACGAAGAAGAAGATGTAGAAGGCCCAAGAAAAGAGGTATATATTTCAATATTTTGCCAATATAAAATTATTGCCATTTCGTTAAATTAATGAATATTCCTATGAAGCTTTCTTGCATTTCGTTGGTGTATAATTCTCAGGTTATAATGGCTGGTGTGAGGAAATGCATGCGTAAAGTCAACAACGCATTCAGTCAAATGTATGAATTGATGGAAGAAGGTTTGACAAGTTTTCCTGAAGATGATGATATGAAGGCTCTAAATTATGAGTTAGAACTAATGTTGGTTAAGCTTTATCCAACAAAAAAGAATAATGTACACGCACATACCAACTCCCCTTCAGTTGAATCAGTAGAAAAATAAGAAGAAGAAGTACCTGTTGCTGAATTTCAACAAGGTTGTGAAGCTCAAGTTCATCCTATAGTTCAACTAGATTGCGAAGCTCGTCCACATCATGAAGCTCATTCAGATTGTGATGCTCAACCAGTTTTTGAAGATGGGAACAATGAAGCTAAAGAACAATCACTATTGGATATCAATATACAGTCATCCAAGGAGATGAAAGAAGGGGCTGAAGTTGTTTTTGGAAATATCCTTGAATCTCCTGAGGTTCTTGAACATTTAGAAAGAATTATTCAAGATTACCTTAGAGAAAAGAAATTACATGAAGATACTTATGATTTACCATCTTTTGATTTAAAAATTACCCAGGAGCTTTATGTAACCTCATCTTTGGTGGAAGCTATAAAGATAATATCCCAAGAAGACAAGGAGATACAAGCAAGAAAAAAAAAAGGAATTTGTGGATGAAGGGGTTGCAAAGGGCAGAGGAAAAGAAGGTAAAAGAGAGTCAAAGCTAGCTGAAGTGTTAGTTTCTCCATATAAAGTTCGAATTGTGGAACTAAAGAAAGATTTAACAAAACATGAGAAATTGGTTGCGAATAATCTGTTCTCAACAAGGAAGTCCCCAACGTAAGTTGTATACCTTTTTTTTAATTTGATAGTACATAACCTTCACATAATACTTACTGGGAAACTTATATTTCATTCCTATATTTTCTCATTATTCGTAATAAGATTATGCATATTTTTGCATACAGGAATATTGTATTCCAGTCATCAGATGACTTTATTGTTTTGAGGGATGAGCTTGAAACATTAAAGTCGGGTTTCGAAATAAATGCCAACGTTTTAAACTGTTGGGCTTACATCTTGAACGACGAAGAGAAGTTTAAAAAATGCAAGATCATCATCCCGAATATTCTTGGATGTTAGTGTTATGGTAAGTGCAAGTAATTATGTATTTGAATTTATATTAGTCTTGAATGACGAAGAGAAGCTTAATTAATGTACATATCTTATCAAGTTCTAAATATTTGGGCATTATTTAAGGGTAGATTTTGGGACTGATGTAGTCTATGCTTATCTTTTTCTCATTCTTGACTTTGCTAATTATGTCATTATTATTATGACAGTCCCCTGCAATGGAAGACACTAAAGTTTCAATTCGTGAAAGGCAAAAAGAATTTCATGCCAATATGTTGGTTGCGTGCCAAGGAAATGAAACCATAGCATCCTTGAAAGTTGATTTGGTAAAGAATCTTAACTTGTTCTACATATATACATGAAGGTATATATTATATTTACATGTTCTTTTCAAATTGTGTGTTACTATCTTGACCTGCCAAACATCCTTCACAACATGCTTGTTGTGAAGGTTCAACGAAGGCAGAGAAAACAAATGGGTAAACAAATTTTTATACAATTTGTAGATATTTGTTGTCTTTTTATTTCTTTTGGTTGCAGTTACAAAGGGTTATGTGTCTTGAAAATGAACCTTTACAATATGTTTGTTGTGAAGGTTCAGTTATTCAAAGTCAATTATAAGCTTTTTCGTGTAGTTTGTTATGACATTTTTATGGACTTCTATGTATTGGAATTTAATAAAACAGGTATTTTTTATAATGTTGAGAGGGCGACATTTCTAYTTGGTGGTGTTCAATCTTAAGAAGCCATCATTTCTCATTATAGACAATATCAATCATACACAAAGTATTAATGAAGTTTATGGTATTGTTCCTGAAACATTGGTAAGCTTTTAGTTATGTTAAAATTTGATAATAAATATTTTCTTTTGTTTATAATGAGTTAAAAGTATGATTGATGATATATTTTTTTATTTAATTTTAATTCTACAGCATTCATTATTTTGCAACTACTTAAGAGAAGTTCATCATCCAAAAGCCTATGAGATGTTACAGCTTCAGCYAGAAATAGTTGATATGGATTGGAGAACAAAGAAAAATTTTGTTGATTGTAGGGTCTTTGCTATGCGTCATATGGAGACTTGTTTTGGGTCAAAGTTAAAAGATTGGAAATGTGGTCTTGTAAAGGAGGGTACCAAGAACAAAGCCCAAGAAAAGCAAGTTAATGATTTGAGAAAAAAGTACACAGCAAAGATTCTATTATCCGACTTGAATATAGTGAAGTGTAAAGTAGCTGACGAAGTGAAGGAATGGCAAGGCTATGATGTCAAAGAACAAAACCGACTTTTGGAAAAACCTAGGGAAGAATTGGAAAAAAGGTTTGCTTGAGAAATGATGTGGGTACACTATTTTATGTTTTCCTCTATGTAATGGTCAAACAGGTTGTTTTTTCAAAGAAGTTTTGTCAATCATTAGGCAGCTTGTTGTGATGATAATGTTTAGGTAGCATGTATAAAGTAGTATTGGCAGCTTTTTGAGTTATAATTCATGAGAATTAATGAGCTTCGTAAATATTGATTTTTCAATTTCATACCTTCACAACATGGACGTTGTGAAGGTACAGATTTATCAACTGGTAATTGGAGTTAGATTTTTATGTTTGTTTTCATTTTACTATCTAATGACATTAACGTGTATGTCAACACACTAGAGTGAGATTTATTAAGTATTCTTCATTAAGTTGATACAACTATCAAGTTTTAGGAAGTAACCTTCACAGTCACTTGTTGTGAAGGTCYAGTTTTATAAATAAATTCAACTTACATTCTATTTCATGAGAAAGAGAACTTACATAATACCAACATTTGATTATAAATTAACCAGAAAACTCATTCCTTCACAGTAAATTTATTGTGAAGGAATAAGGTTACAGATCGCAAAAGAGTATTTTTATGAACCTTTACAAAAAATTAGGGTTGTTTTCCTAAATACTTACCCATAAAGTTAAACATTATCACTTAACTTACTGAATAAAATTTTAGTCTATCAAAAGAGCATCATATGCAACAATCAACCMTGTAATCATTAACCGRGAAAGACTTTCARTACTTATCATCACATTTTCTAAGTAAAATTCTTGATTCTTGCCATTTTYATYACTAAAGTAATATGACTTACAAGTGCTTATCTGGTAAAACCAATTCAACTTCATAAGGTAATATGATGTAAAGTAAAGTTCATTGGACAAATCATGTAAAGTAACAAACWTATCAATTTATCATTCCTTCTTYTTTGGGCAATTCCTCGAGTCGTGATTAGCCCACTGCTGACAATTTCTACAAATTMTTTTGCCTCTTGAACTTTTGTTAATCGACTCTTCTCGCGCACCAACATATCTCTCGCTAGTCCCACATCCCTTGTTTCTTGCATTCTTAGGAACTTTAGTTGTTATTTCAACAGGTTGTGTTATTCCAATAAAGCTCTCAATTGTATCCTTTTTGCTCCTTGAAGATTCGCTAATGCTATTAGATTCTAATTCATTCTCAAACAACTTGATACACTCAAGAAACTGACCAAGTTTTTCAATGTCATTTCCCAAACAACTTGTAACGCGTCCAACTGATGAGTATATGTCCGAAAGCACATTGTTTGCATCTGGAGTTCCATTCAACATTGCTTTTATTGATGGTAACTTTACAGCATCTTTTCTCCAACGTTGAAGTATGTAGCGTTTTGGAATTTTCTTGATCTCATGATGCCTTAACACATAAAGCATGACGACATAATATTCCATAAAGCTCAAAATGAAGACATGTGCAAGTTATGATATGATCTTTCTCATCAAAAAGAACATGTAATAAGAAAGAAACAAACAAAATGAAGATTTAATATTTCATACATTAACAACATGGATGTTGTGAAGGACCTTGCATAACAACTCATAATTGAAGTTAGATTCATATGTTTTATCTTCATTTGCCATCTAATAACATTGAATTGTATGAAGCACTAGATCAAGATAACTTAAGAAGTAATAAGTATCATTCACTGGCATTAAGTTTATAATTAATTTAGAATTCATTAAAAAAACATACTGTTAGCATTAAATTTGATGCTAATGATTATCTTGAAAAGTTTTATTAAGCAATCGGGGCTAAGGATGACCATCTGAAGATGATGTTGTGCTAAAACGTTTAAGTCTGGAAAGAAGACCAGCCGATGTGCTAAAATGTCAAAGTATGGACTACCAGAGCCTCTGTGAAAGACCACCAGGGCCTCTGTAAAAACACTAGAGCCTCTATAAACATACAGAGCCTCTGGTTGTGTTGATCAGAGCATCTGTGAAGACACCAATGACAGAGCCTCTGTGAAAAGAGACAGAGCCTCTGTAAGGACTCTAGAGCCTCTGTGATCAGACCATCCTCTGGTCTTTCTGACTACTATCTTCAGCATCATATTCTGGATAAGGCTAATCCTATTCTGGATAATGCTTATCTTATTCAGATTATCATTTTGTAATACATAGATTCAAGATCATATGAGAGTCGATTAGGGTTCTTGAGAGTTTGTAATTTCCATATTCAATAAAGAAAGCAGATCTGATTTCTATTTCATCTTTTTTCTTCTACATTCTCTCTTGAATTTCTTTATTAAATTGTTCTACTGTCAGATCTGGGTTATAACAAGTGGTATCAAAGCCAAATCGATTAATTTCTATCGATACGATCGTTCTGCAGTAGTTCAATTTAATTGAAATACACTCTTCATGAACAGTTTGCTGTTCGACTGTTGTTTGGACCCAGAAACTCATCGATTCATCATTTGCTTAATGTTTATCAAATTCCTTTTAAGGGATTTGTTCTTGGATGAATTCGAACCTGTTTTGATCTTGGATCTTTCAGTTTATTGAGTTTTTTGGAGTCAGTCGATTATTTTTTAGCACTGATTAGAGTCAAATCTGCGCGAAGGCGTCTAGCAAAAGTTCATGATATTCACAGCCTAAGGCAATTGGTGATTTATCTGCCAAACAATTTATTTATTACCAATTTCTTGAGTCTTATTTCATCTTCTCTTGTTATGATTTTGAATCTGTAATAGTTTACAGTTTCTCGTGTCTGTAAACACCCATTCCTACATGTCTATGGCAGTTTCTTTCATGATCGGCCCTTAAAAGCATTAACAGCTAATCTGTCAATTTTATTGACCTGCTGTTTCTTGAAGTTACAAGCTTAATGTTAAAATCTTCTCTCCGGTTCTCAATTCTAATGGTGTTTGCTTCGTTTTTTCAAGTTTTCTCCAATTGAGTCAAGCTCTAAAGCTGCATTCCTACTCAACTTGCGGTTCATTGATAGATTCATTGTCATAAGACTGTTTGCACTGTTTTGTCAAGTAATCCACACAGTTATTTATCCCTTCTTGGATGAATTTGCTACTTCTGTGTGGAGTGGCTATTCTGTGCTTCATAGTCTGTGCTACATTGTGGGCAGATTAAAGCTGCATCGTGTGCAATCAGTGGTGCTGCATGTTACATTGAATCTGATTTGAGCTAAAAGTTGAAATTGAAGACCACAGAGCTACATTCAGAGGGGAGCTTGAAAATTCCATCCAAATCACACTAAAGCTTCTGTCAAGGAAGCAGAGGGGACAAGACCTGAAGACTTCTTGAAGATGCTTGCTTCATAAAACTTTGAGAGGAGATTGTTAGCATCAAAGTTGATGCTAATGATTATCTTGAAAAGTTTTATTAAGCAATCGGGGCTAAGGATGACCATCTGAAGATGATGATATGCTAAAACGTTTAAGTTTGGAAAGAAGACCAGCCGTTGTGCTAAAATGTCAAAGTATGGACTACCAGAGCCTCTATAAACATATAGAGCCTCTGGTTGTGTTGATCAGAGCATCTGTGAAGACACCAGTGACAGAGCCTCTGTGAAGAGAGACAGAGCCTCTGTAAGGACTCCAGAGCCTCTGTGATCAGACCATCCTCTGGTCTTTCTGACTACTATCTTCAGCATCCTATTCTGGATAAGGTTAATCCTATTCTGGATAATGCTTATCTTATTCAGATTATCATGTATTGTTGCCTATAAATAGAGTGTTTCAGATAGAGAAATATGAATGAGAGCACATAGAGAAATTCTTTGTAATACATAGATTCAAGATCATATGAGAGTCGATTAGGGTTCTTGAGAGTTTGTAATTTCCATATTCAATAAAGAAAGCAGATCTGATTTCTATTTCATCTTTYTTCTTCTACATTCTCTCTTGAATTTCTTTATTAAATTGTTCTACTGTCAGATCTGGGTTATAACACATACCTTAAATTCTCCTTTTCTTTCTTTATCCCTGTCTTGAATTATATCTTTACTCAATGCTGAACATGTCCACAGCGATTCAATGATCTCCTGTTGAACAACATAAAATGTTTCACGTGTGTAAACTTTTGCTGCATGCCTCTCTATTAGAAGAGGGGTCTCCATCATCAGTGTTGTCGTCCTCATCTCATGATCAAGTAACCTTTGTGTATACCTTTGTTTATCTATCGCAGTCTCAAAGCGACTGAAAAAGTGCACGAGTGTTGATTTCCAATTTGAATTTTGGCCGAAGAAGTAGTTTTCACTTTCTGATCTTGAAGTTGTCTTCATGAGTCCAGACATTTGGATATSTCTATAATATGCTGGGATCCATCTATCCCGAATGTCAAACATATMTCTCAACCATTGATGACACTCCAATTTGTACTCTGCCAAAAGTGACATCCATTGCTCTTCAAATTTTATCGGTTCAATGTATTCACTCCAAACAAGATTATTAAAACGTGATCGAAAACCTACATCATCATCATCATTAAGTTGGGTTCCAATCTACAAAACATGATGAAATATAGTTGAATGAAGTGTTATCAAAACAGAAAAAAAAAGAAACTCACATAATTTAATTTTACTATACAGGATGTACATTTAATTGGCATTACTTTCACATAAAATGTTTGAAAATTTCACAACTACTTAAAATTAACAGGAAGTTTGCTGTGAAGGTTCATGAATTTTATATAAAGGTAATTTTTAGAGTGCTAAACTAAGTCATTGCTTAAAATATTCACAGAAGTAAACTTAATTCAAATTTAATTGATAACTTGACTTAAAATATTGGAACTACAAAGTAAGTGTAAATAGAGTGTTAATCTACATACGGTTCAAATTTAAGTACATACCTTTGAAGGAAGTTTATTCATTATATGCCACATACAAAGTCGATGCTTYGCACTCTTGAAAACAACTTCTATTGCTGCTTTCATTCCTAAATCTTGATCTGTTATAACCATTTGTGGTTCAGAACCATGCACAGAAAGGAATGCATTAAGTAACCATGCATAAGGCTCCTTTTTTTCATCTGAAAGTAGACCCGCACCAAATATTACACATTTTTGGTGATTGTCAATCCCCGTAAATGGAACAAATACCATATTGTACCTAAAACATAAACCAAAATCCCAAAGATTATTATAATTRAATGTATATRAAAYAATTGTACATTCAYAGCAACATTGTTGTGAAGATTCAAWTTTGTAAACTTTTATAAACTKAAHTGGTGTATCTTACTTGTTCTTTTTGAATGTTGCGTCAAATGAAACTACATCACCAAATGCTTTGTAGTTCAATTTACAAGTTTCATCTGCCCAAAAACAGCCACTTAACTCTCCTTTGTCACCAACTAAATACTCGAAAGAAAAGTTCGGCATCGTATCTTTCTTTAGTGTAAACTTGTCCACAATCATTTATGCGTCTTTATTCCCAATAAAAGATGAAACGTCTCTCGAAAAGTTTTTAAATTCTATCTTAGTAGCCCCTACTCTGTCATAGCTACCTACCATCTCCTTCGCCAAGTTGTACGAAGAAACTGGACCAATGTTTGCATTCGAAAGCTTCATAGTAAAATACTGTTGTGAATAACTCATATTTCTATTTGAACGTAGTAAATGTTCATCATCTGGTAAAACAAGTAAAATATTGTTGTGAATAACTCATATTTCTACGTTTGTCTTTCTTAGAAGTTCCTTCCAAGGTTTTATATGATGCTCTCTTCTTCATACCTTATTTGCTACAAACAAAGAACTTTCTTAGCACAATTCCTTTCCTATCCGTTCTTTGTGTAGACTTTCTAACATCAAAACCTGCTGCTTTCGAATACTTTTTACAAGCCTCAAATGCATCTTTCAAATTTCCAAACTTTGTTCCAACAATAGGCTTAAACATATCCCCTACATTTGGTGTCCAGGTCCTTGATTGATATGGTGAAGAGACATCATTGTTATCCGACTCTTCCGTTAAAGCATCATTTAAATCTAAGAAACAACAATTACAAAATTTATAGATTTGTATAATATATAACTTTTCATTTAAATATTGCAATGTAAAATTTTATGTGTTCACCATCACCAAAAACATAGTTAGAACTGTCAAAAGAAAACTTCACAAAACAAAAGGAATAGTTAAAACAAGTTTCTTCAATTTTAAAGAAGGGGTGGGTTGTTAATTAAATATCCAAGGATTTATAATCTTCACAAAGCAAAAAGAATAGTTAAAACAGTTATAGACGGGTTATGGTCATGGTTATTGTCATGGTTATGTATGGACATGGCAATTGTGAAGCAAACCATGACCTGCCCAACATCCTTCACAGCATGCCTGTTGTGAAGGTTCAAAGAAGAAAGATAAAACAAACAGGTATACAGCTT